TCTCTCTTTTAAAAAAAAATGTATTTTATTGATTTTTTACGGAGAGGAAGAGAGAGGGATAGAGAGTTAGAAACATCGATGAGAGAGAAGCATTGATCAGCTGCCTCCTGCACACCCCCTACTGGGGATGTGCCTGCAACCAAGGTACATGCCCTTGACCGGAATTGAACCTGGGACCCTTTGGTCCCCAGGTTGACGCTCTATCCAGTGAGCCAAACCGGCTAGGGCTAAAAGCCATTCTCTTAAAAAGTTCATTATAATCCAGCAATATTCCAGAATACACCATGGGCAATCAAAAGTCAAATATTGTCAGAAAGAAACATGGAAGATATTTAATTTTACAATGTCAAATACAGAGAAGTATTCTCTTAAAAAAAAAAAATCCTCACCCGAGGATATGTTTATTGATTTTAGAGAGAGCAAAGGAGAGAGAGAATGAGAAACATCGATCCGTTACCTCCTATATGCACCCCGATCAGGGATTAAACCCACAACCTTTTGATGTGCGGGACAACGTTCCAACCAAATGTGCCACCCAGCCAAAGCCAGAAGTACTCTTGACTTAACAATTTGAATATTCAGAGCTATCTGGCAAAAATAATATATGGACACTTAATCAATAATGAAACATGCTATTATTATTATTATAAAATATTTCATTCATAATTTTCTTGCCCTTGGTGTGTCTTTTTAAAATGTTTCTTCACATTAATAGCATGTTCTCTTGGTATAAATTAGAAAGCCATTAATCACCAATTTCAGGAGTCACTTTATTAGCCACAAAACAAACAGCTTATGGGTCTGTGTGGGTGGTTGAGTGTGCCTTTCCCAAGCTTTTTTCAAAGATGCAACAATCATATAGTCTACAGTTTCTGAGTTTATTCTCTTTAAATATTATGTCTACTTGTCCACAACTGTGGTCCAAAATTACTTATTTGTGACTACAAAAACTGAAACAGTGAAATCTACAATCTAGACATGTAAAAATGATCCTACTCTAGCTCATCCCACTCTAACCTACATTCTATTTTTTTTTCAGGATTTCTCTCACAAGGTACTTTGCTTATAAAAGAGAGTTAGACAATGATATTTTATTTATGGCAAAGCAAGTTTTAATAACTCATGCCATTTTAAGGAAAGCCTCCCTAATATGTCAAATTTTTTATAATTTATAATATTAATTATTTATTTGGAATTAGTTCAAAATTTCTCAAATATATCAAAAATTTTTATACTTGATAATACTAATATTAATTACTCATTTGAAGTTAAGTTCCCACATCACTAATTTTCAATAAGGTTCTGAGTACTTTTAAACAAGAAAATTCAGTTCATTCTTTCTGAGTATTTTCTATCAATTCCATTCCTGAACTTAAAAAAAACATACCACGTTGGTGATTTGTACAGTTATTTGACAAATTTAACATAGAGTTTACTCTGTAACAGATACTATCCTAAGTGTGTTAGCAAATTATTCCCACTCAGTCTGAAAATTCAAGGCAAACTTACACTCATTAGGATGGCTATGGTAAGTGAATTATTGGTGGGAATGTAAACTGGTGCATCTGCTTTGTAAAACAATAAAGTGATTCCTCTATCCCTGCACTTTTATTACTACACAGTACCAAATTTATAAAAACTTTCATTAAAAAACACCACCCAGACAATTAAAGTACCTAACCTTTCCAATCACATTTTCAGTTCTTAAAAGAATTATTTTCTCTACTTACAGATAAATGACGATGTATCATCTAGAAACTGAAGGCTCCCTCTGAAAGAAATAAATCAGCTGCCCCATCCGTGCCTCATTTAAAACAAGGTTGCTGTTTCTGGCTGTGAAAAAGGCTGAGAAGTTGTCTCCTGGCATGTGTGTATTAATCAAAATACTGGCAGGGAGACACATACAACTTTAAGGGAGTACTTCTGTTGTTATATGATGTGTTAGCAAATTATGAACAGGAAAAAAAATGTTTGGTACAAAGCTATTAAACTTCATTTTAAAAAGAAAACTTAAAACTGAATCTATCCAAACACTGAAGCTTTGATTGACAATGACAACTTGATAACTTATGCTAACTTTTCATGTTTCCTACAATTAACACATTTGTGTTGAGTGTATTAACATTAAATCTATCACTTATTTCTCAACACATTAAATATTCTCCTATTCAAAAAATGAATTACAGATACCTGGTGCTACATTTCAAATTACTTTAAAATAAAGTATATAAAATATCCTTAAAGTACAAAAACTGCACAAAGGTATTTTTACAAACTAATGCGGATTGCAAGTTGGAAGTAAATATACCTGTCTTTTTTTAAAATGTATTTTTTTATTGGTTTTAGAAAGGAAGGAAAAGGGGGAGACAGACATAAAAACATTAATGACGAGAATCACTCATTGGCTGCCTCCTGCACGCCCCCTACTAGGGATCGAGTCCACAACCCAGGCATGTGAATCTGACCGGAAATTGAACCTTGACCTTCTGGTTCATAGGTTGACACCATGGCACACTGGCTGGGCTAGCTGTCCTTTAATTTACACTTGTAGATAAATTAGCAATGCAACATACAAACAGAAAGAAGAAAAGGCAAAAAATTTAAGAGAAATGGTCTCCAGTTCTCTATGCTTGGGCAAATCTATATATATAAAATCCTAATATGCAAATAGACCAAATGGCTGAGCAACCGAACAACCGGTCGTTATGATGTGCGCTGACCACGAGTGTGCATGTGCAGAACATGGCAGGCATTGGCAGCAGGCAGCAGAGCACGGAACATGATGGGCATCAGCTGCAGTGGGATGGTGGAGCAGGTGAGCGGGGGCACCAGACCAATGTGGGGCACCAGTCGCTGTCATTGGGGCAAACCTCTGGTGGTTACTGAAAATTCTTTGCTCTCATGCACCACGGTCCTGCCCGGCGCTCGCACCTGCTGCCAGTGCCGGCCCTGCTCGCACCCAGAGCCGGCACCAGAGCCGCTGCTCGCACCCGCTGCCTGTCCTCATCATTCAGCGCCGTCAGTGGGTGCAAATGGCGGCTGCCGGCCCTGATCACCCCAGTGGGCTTCTCCACCTCCCCCTGCTCCTGAGGGGCAATCAGGGCAGCAGCCGCCCCTTGCACCCACTGACAGTGCCAGCCCCAATCGCTCTGTGCTGGCAGTGGATGTGAGTGGCCTGGAGCTGTCAGCCCATGGGGGCAGCGGCAGCGGGAGTGGGGCTGCCGGCAGATAGGGATGGGGGGACCATGGCGGGAGGGGTAAGGTGGGGGTGCAGAGGATGGGCCAAGACCCACCCTTGTGCCCACCACAGCCTTGCGGCCCACAGTTCCTTTCAAGGTGCATGAATTTGTGCACTGGGCCCCTAGTAAATAAATAAATAAATTCCCTATGTGAATCTGGCTTAAGCTATATTTGTTTCTTTACTGAGATTACATGAATATTATTAGATGGGACATTTATGCCTGATCTAAGTAAAGCAATTTAAACAGAAAAACAAAAGAATCTTCCAGGCTTAGGTTGGATATACTAAAATGTAAACTTTTTCAAAGTCATAGAGAATATAGACAAAATATTTTAATTTTTTTTTAAAAAGGGTGGTGGGAGGTGAGAGCCAGTAAAAGGCAATTGGGAATGAAACTCTAACAAAACTCTCAGAAAAAAAGAGCATAAAAATCTGTAATCTTTCTGCTTTCACTATAACATCTGAAGGCATTTAGCAGATTTCACTATCACTGAACATGCCAGTGATTTCTTCAAAAACTAGAAAAGCATGCACATTACTTTCTGTCAAGAAATGTAGATCCTTAATGAATTTACAGCAAAGAAATGAAGCAGACAATGTGATGTAATAGAAACTGCTTGCGATTTAGAATATAGAGACTTGGTGAGGAGTAAATCTAGTACACAAGGTATCTTTGCCCAAACTAGAGGAAGGTATTCCACTCTTGGTAGCCAGATCTCTGGTTCAGTGAGTGAAGAACAGGTATGGTGTCAGTCTTCACTCAAACCCTTTGCTCTGGCAATATTCCAACTACATATCCAGATCAGGAAAATTCAAATTTGGCTCTATCCCTTATTAGCTTGGGGTCTTAAACAGGTGATTTAACAGGGGTTCAATTTCTTTATCTCTAAAATGGGAATTACAGAGCCCTGTTAACAGGATTATTATGGATATTACATAGAATGGTGTTTGCTGTAGCATCTAAGAGAACACAAATTAACGTATACTCCTAACACTAATTTGGTGATCATTCGTGTGTGTGCATGAGCGAGCAGAAAGAAAAGGCAGTAAAAGTTCAATAGTCAAATATTCTAAGTTTGGAAATTTACATTTGACATAAATCTCTACTGTAGATTCATAATGCCCATTAGCATTCTAAAGACTCTAAGAAGTCCTGTAATAAGAAGTTGTTTAACTTATTTAACTGTTCTCAAATTTATTTGATTACAGAACAGTTTTTGGTTTTTATCTATTAAAATCTCACAGCACTGGTTTTTTGTTGTGTTCCCCCCCACACCACAGAATGGAATTGGGAATAGATAGTATAGGGAATTTTGAGCCATTTTTTATATATATGATATTAATTAAAATCAAACAGATTTTAAGCTACAGATATTAATTTTATTACTATTTTATAAACCTTAACGAAATCAGAAATTCAAAATCTGAAAACTGCTTTTGAGTAATTTTGATATAAAAGTCAAAAGGTGAATTTTTAAGGCATTTTTAACTGTTAGGCCACATGTAAAATTTTTTAATTTAAAGATTATATCTAAAAACCATGTTGTAGAAACTGGAATATTTAAGCCATATGCTTTAACTCTACTTGGCTAATAGTAAACAATAATGGTTATATGACCTTACCAAGAAAAGAAGCGTCTTGGATTATTTCAAAATGCTATTATTTACATCCTCTTATACCCTTCTTCCTTTTATATACACATTTATGTTAAGGTAAGAGAAACAAATGCAAAACATCTATTATTCTGTTTTTACTTACCTAATATTTTCACAGCATAATGAGGACTTTCTAAGACAATTCCTTCCTCTGTATCAAATATAGGGTTATCTATTCCAGTCTTTGGAGGCATTTGGGCTAGTTTCTTAAGTCTCATGGAAGAATTAAGGTCAAGTTCTTGTTTTTTCCCTTCTTCCTCTCGCCTACGCCTCATGTCCTCCTGTTGTTGCCGAATACGCTCCAACTGTGCACTTCGACGTACAGGCATCATCCTGGTGCCCAAATCTCCAGGGCAGTCAACAGCCATCTCTCGGTGCTTCTGATGTTCCTCTGGTGATGCAAGATCAACATTTTTTACTTCGCCGTCGGATTCCTCAGTAACATGCCCATTCATATGGGATGTTGTCATGGTTATCTATAAAAACCTGTACCACTTTTTATAAATCAATTTTTTCCTATAAAGCCAATCTCTTGATTCTGTAGTATAAAATCCATGTTACTTCAAAAAAACACACCACAAAAGACTTCTCACATCACATAATAATGCTATGAAAATGTATCCATGAAGGAAATCTAAGAGGAAAGATGAAGGGAAAAAAGTATAAGAATTACAATATAAAAGACTTTAAATAGACCACTTCTAATCCCTTGCAATATAGAAAATACCCCACAAGTCCATATTAGATTAAATACTTTCCTTTCATTTTGTAGATGCTGCTGAGAAAGTCAAGGTGTTCCCCCTGCCACCCCAAAAAAGGTTCCTTCCCAAGAATTTGAAGCATACTGTTTATTTTACAGCTGAGAAAAATGATGTATTGGAAGGTTTAACAAAATGAGAAAGTAAGAAAATTTTGGGTACTAGTTTAGTAGAGAATAAGTTGCTTAAGGTATAAGGATGTTTTAATCATCTTTGTAAAGTTGTCTCAACACAATACTTTACACTCAATTAACATACACGAGATTTAAAAAACTTCCTAGTTAACTGCTAAAGAAACTGGAATATAGCATGTCATATTGGTGGCCCACTTGAGGTAAAGGTAGTATTCTGGGGGGCAATTCACTTTTAGGAGTTTATAAGATGAAGATAGCCAATGAAAAAGAAACTTTAATGAGCAGCTAAGGCATCTATAGAATAAAACCACAATGAGTGAGAAAAAGACTAGTGGGTATCAGTGTTTATAACTGGTCACATTAACACAAGAATTAGGGTTCTTTATGAAAATTCATTCAGAGAAAATGGTACCTGTTACCATTCAAAAAAAAAAATTTAAAGCCATACTATACAGAAAATAAGAACATGCTGGACTCAGAGGCCAAAAAACTGAATTTTAATTCTGGCTCTGACACTTCTTCTAGCTATATTATCTAAGACTACTCAGTTTCTCCAGAACCTCAGAGTCCTTTGGAATATTTATTCACAGGATTGTTCTGTGTTTTAAATGAGATACTATAGCAAGTTTTAAAACTAAAAAAGATATACTTATATTAATTTTTAGTATTAATTTGATTCTTATATTTTAAAACTCCTTCAACATATTTTAGACAAGAAAAATATTTTACTGGATGACACTGGCTTTTTATCAAGCCATTTCTTGGGCATAAAAAGGCAGATTGTTTATATATGTGAAAACCCACACATTAAATTAATTAGTCTTCTTTTGCTCAAGACTTTAAAAATATTTACAATAATAAACCTACTACCTCCTGGAGTTGAGCATCATTTCAGTAAATAGGTTTGTAAGAGCACATGCCTACTAAGCAAAAGCTGTTTTCAGACAACATTCCTAATGCCAGTCAATCTTCTCTCAAACATCTTGTCACAGGCTGCTTAACATAAACCCACCTAAACTACGAGGAAAAACCACTAGACCAACAATCAGGAAAATAGAGGCAAACCACATGAGCCACTAGAATTACATTTCACAAGAATTTCAAGAGACTTTTCTGTCTTCTATCCAAATCTTAGCTTCTTTCTTTATATATAGCCATGTGGTCTACACATAAATACCTTATTTATCATTAGATTGCCTTCTTTTTCATTAAAATAACAGCTGTAAGAATTACAATAGGCAATTCTTAAGTTATTATATTTTAATTTATGCAAATGCAAGTTCAGCTTATTTGATGTTTTCATTACAAGTAAGCAGAAATTTGTGTAGGAGTTGCTGTAGTACCATGCTTAATTTTAAAAACCTAGGTGTGTACGTATCTCCAGAAAATTAAAACTCTTTCTTGATTTACAATATTTACTGAACATTAAAAATCAAATTTAATAATAATGTATTTTTTACTTTATATGCTAGTCTATAAAAATTATGATCTGAAATTAAAACTGTCAGCTTAAAAACTGTAAGCTATGTCCATATTCACTATACTAGATCATGTAAGAAAAGACTGGGCCAGGTGATCTGGGTAAGAGTTCTCATGCTTGCACTATTATTATGCTTATCTACCTGGATCTACTCTTTGACTCTCAGAAAAATTTCTGCAACCTGTTATTAATCCACTTAAAATTCCGTTTTGGTTATCTCTCTTGGAGTGTTCATAGTCTACTGGGATAGACAGCAAAGAAAATGAATGATTATTCTTCCCCAATTGGTTTCTCCCCATTAGATTTTACAGGAATTAAAGCAGGGGATGCATGATCACATTCACTTTTAGAGAAATATCACTCTGGTAGGAGTGCAGAGGATTGATTATGGTGGGGGGGGGTGGGCAATGAGACCAGTTTGAAGGCAATAAGAATGTGGTACTGAACTTAGACAGTGAAATGAAGAAAAGTTATATTAAAGAAATACTTAAGTTATAGAAGTACTAGAACTTGATGTCTATTTCATATAGTAGGGCAAGAAGAAGAAAAAGGAAGTAACAATAACTATAACATTTACTAAGCACTTATGTGCCACATAATATTGCAAGCACTATACAGTATTCATTCATTAATTTTTATTACAATTGTAAAACTAAGTCCAAATATACCTGTTTTGAAGATGGGGAATGAGGATTAAAGTAGGCCCTGAAGATATAGGATGGAGGAATAAGGAAGAGGCCATTATCAGCCAAAGGCAAGAAGATAAAAGGTCTGGGGAAAGTACAAATAAAAATAGCTAAACTAAAGCAGTCAGCTTGTACAACAGGATAGTGACTAGAAAGTTTGACTGGGTTCAACTTATGAAAAGTCTTAAATGTAAGTTCTTAATTTTCAAGGCAGTAGAAAAGCCATCAAAGATTTAGAAAAGAGGGGGTGATTTGTACATAATTGAGCATTTACCTCTGGCTAGGTACTAGGTTTATAGAGAGACAAGATCCCTGCCGATTAGTTTACTTAACAAAATGTCCTACAGGGATCTAGAAATTAATGTCTCCAAGATTAAACACATATTTACCTTTAATCTTCTCAAAGTCTCCTTGATCCTTTTCCTCCATTCTCAATTCTAATTAATGCCACTATATCTACCCAGTTACCCAAGACAACAAAATGCTGAAAAGATCAGGCTCCAGAATCAGACTGCCTAGGCCCTAGGATCTAATCCTTATCTACTCTCCTTTTAAGTCTCTGTCTGTCTGCTCATCAAACTAGGAGCCCTTGGAGGTCAGAAACCAGGCTGACTAGTCTCTGCATCTGTGATACTATCCAGCACAGGGCCAAACAGAAGGCTGCAGGATATGAACCCAGACAGTGGGACTCCAGGGCCACTATCCTTGGATCATTAGGTGAATGGCAATGTCATTAACTAAGACTGAGAATAATAAAGAGAGGGAGAATTAGATAGAAGGGGTGAGCAATTAAAGGGTAATATGGACTTAGTTAATATGGATTTAGTTTTGGACACATTAACTGCAAGATGACTGTAGATCATATAGGTAAATTATCTAATCAGCAGGATCTGTCTTATTCATCTCTATAGCTCTGATATCTAGTAAGAGATAAATACTTAAGAATATGAGCAAATCACTCTGGTTCAAAACTTCTGATAGCTTTCATATTGCCTACAGAATAGAGTTTGAACTCACAAGGTAAACTCAAACTTTCTAACTGTATCTTTTACTACTTTCTTATACAAGCCTTGTAAGTTGGCTTCCTATTTGTGCCTATCCCATATCTTTTTCTTTCTGCCTAAATACCTTATGAACTAAGAAATATGAACTGTTTCTCCTTTCCTCTTCTACCTTCAAGATCTACCACAAATCCCTATTCCTTTAATAAGTTTTTCTTCAGACCAACTCGGTTAAATAATCTCACCATACAACACTTCAAATATAATGTTCACAAGTTAACTCACAAAGGCCATGAAAGATTCAGCAAGTTCTTCCAGAATCATCAGAAACATTATGCTGTGTCCTAGCTTATATATGTAGTTAATACATATCAATAAACAGTGAAAGAGTCCTAGGCCAAAGGAATTATATTTTCCCCTCTCCAAAAAAGAAAGAAGAAAAACATTTTGTTTGACAATTCAGAAGCTGGTAAATGACTGAACTAGAGAATTACCTCCTTATATAAATAAGAGACCATCTTATACAGATAATACAGTTAACAAGTTGCTGGCCCTAAGAGTATTTATCTCCTGTCAACCCTCTAATTATAAATAAATTGTTTTTTAAAATGTCTCAAAAGCCCATGTTTCAAATCCTCATCAGAGTCCCAGGCTCATACTCCTTCGTGGCGGAAAAATAAAGAAAAAAAAAAATTGATCAAAACTTTTCACATACTTTACAAAAGCAAGAAAATGAATTTTCAGGTTGGCAGGCCAAAGCTGTTTCAATGCTAGCTTCTAACTAGTGGGCAAGGGCTTTGCTTACGTGAATCGGCTATAAGAAAAGGGGGTTAAAAGATGCTAAATAAGCTTCAATAAATACAAATGATTGAAATTGGGGGGCGTGAAACAGAGTGAGGAATATTGTCCTACTGAAAACTTTACACTAAGAAACAGAACCATTTGTGTGAGAGCTAGGAAACATGACAGGTTAGCAGGAACACAATTTCCTATATAATCAGTATTCTACTTTATAGACAGAGGAAAATGTAAAACATGCACTTCATATGCATAAACATGGTTCGTCGACACTAGTGTCCAGAATTCTAGATTTTTTTTCAATTCATCCTTCCTCCCTTTCTCCCACAAGTAATGCCCTTTGACCAGCAGCTGGGAATTCTCATTTTAAGTGATCAGCATTCCTCTGATTCTGAGGAGTTGGACTATTAGTTCCCATAGAAACAACTTTTTCAGCTAACACAAGATTCAGGCCAAGAATAGTGAAAAGAACTTACATTATGCAAATTGGAAAGGCCTTGTCTACTATTCTCTTAATTTCTCTTCTCTGGTTTTTCACAAAACTCCAGCTTTCTTACTCTGAAAAACAGAAAAGAGACAATCAAGTATAAAAGTCTGCAGTGCTTTTTAGAGAGAGGGAGGGGAGGGAAAGGTTAATTCAATGTGATATACAATTCTGTTTGCAAATGGCTAGGATTTCTTAGTAAAAATGCACCCCCTCCCAATCTCCACTTTACATACATTAAAATCAATGTAAATTACCTGAAATAAGTGATGAGAAAGAGGTAAACATAACTGTTTTAAAAGGTTTTAAAAAGGGGGTAAGACCCTTTTTCAGATTATTATTATTATTTAAAAGAATAGCATACTTTTTTTATTGAACTTAGAGAGAGGAGCAGAGGGAGGAAAGAAGGAAGAGAGAGAGATAGAGAGAGAAACATCAATGTGAGAGAGAAACACCAATCAACCGGGGAATTGAACCCACAACCTGGGTATGTGCCCTGACTGGGAATCATCCCAGCCTGAACCCTTTTGGTGTACAGGACGGCGCTCCAACCAACTGAGCCACACCAACTAGGGCTTGCAGATTATTTTTCATGACACCTTTGACCTCTAGGTTAAAGCTCAAACAAAAATGCAGTTTTTGTTTTGTTCTTTGTTTTAATTTCTGGATCAATTTTACACATTGTGAATAATTTATGATACCAGTAAAATAAGTTTAGAGAGGCAGGGTCTGATCTGCAGTCTCCATGGCAGCTGTTGAACAGCTGTTGCCTCTCTTTCTCTCCAGGTGGGGATGAGATCAAGTTGGCGTGGGGTGGGGGGGGGGGGCGG